GCATCGCGAGATTCCAACCCAGGATCTACCAGTCTCGTGCCAGAGCACTTAACCACTAGACCACTGAGCTAGGTGTCATTCAACGGTGTTAATGTCTAGCTTCAACCAATTCACGGTTTTGAGCAACCGTTCATTAATTGTCTTCAGTGAGTTGATATCTCTACAACAGACTTGGTAGAACTCCACTGGTTACTGCTTCTCACCGGAACTCAAGGAAATATCTTTTGAAGTCAGTCACTAGTGAGCTCTGCCCCGAGATTGATAGGCCCTGCGTTCGAATCTCGCGAGTTTGGGATCGTGGATATACACTGCTGAAGATTTCCATACTAGGACTAAATAGTCATCCAGTTCTTTCAGGTTTTCTGTGGTGGTCTAGCTTTAATTGACTCATGATCTCAACTATGAAAATACTAAAGTCTCCACAAAAACCTCTTCTGATTATAATCACATGCTCACGAGTGACTGATTTCAAGATATTTTTTATTATATCACATAAAATATGAATAGGATTTCATTAGACTTTCATAATTGAACATTAAACATAATTTTATAGTGGATTAGATGTGCAATCATTCTTTAAGCTTCGTATATCAATCGCCCCGATAACTATTATCCAATAAATCTTAACAGTGTATGAATTCAGAAAGCAACACAAAGCGCCGACTACATTTTATTGTCGAATAGCGTAGGTCAGTAAGCCACAAGCATCAAGCCAATGCGGTCCAAAAAGCTAATGAGCGCGAGCGAGCGAATACAGAGGAGAATTGTGACTCAAATCAGGAGTCGAGTCAACTAACAAGATTCAAAAGTATATATATATATATAAGAAGAAAAAAATTGTCGTTGGAAATATTGGAGACAAAGCGAAGCGGAGAAGGTGAGTGAGACAACTTGTTTTCATAAAGAGTGACTTAATATTTATAGTCAGACAAAAATAAGTTACAGACATGTAGTAAATATGGTAAGCATTTAACGCATATACGCTAATATAAAAGCAATCAAGGTTAATAAGCAAATAGTTAACAACGTCAAAATGTGACTTGAACAGAATGAAACGGTCTATACGGAAGGTAGAATAACCCATGTGAGCTTGATATGGTACTGGACACTGCAGTTTAACATGCCCATTGTTACTTTAATATAATTATTATATATGGTGAGTGCAAAAAAAGTAATCACTTTATCAATTGGTAGTTGATTTATATATTGACTGAATACATTGATTTTATGCTACAGTGTACAGAAAACACTATTCACATTACATCTAATGAGTACATTAAGCATTTTAATGTATAACAATACAAGCGATTACCTGAAACCAGTTTCTACTGTATTTTGATTAACTTAGTTTATAATTTCTGCTCAGTATTATTTTTGTTAGTGAATACAAACAGTTCATATGAAAGCACCATTTAAAATTTGATTAAGAAACTACCCAATACTATCTGAACGCTTATCTAAACTCTTTTGTTTTATCGAATTTATTTCATTTACATGTTTCATGTAATCTGAGAATGGAATAACCGCTTTATGTTAATTAAAAAAAAAAGAAATTACTTGACATTGCTTCATTTATTGAAGTACTTTAATGTGTATATAGTTTTCATAGATGGCACTTTATCGATTATCTTCAGTTATGAGCTAAGAGTTTAATGTGGAATATATCTTTACACATTTGTTGTAGTTTATTTTCCAATATGACTTACTGTCAAACCGTCCAAAGAAAATGTGCTCAAAGGAAACAATCAATAAACATCGTCAAAGTTAAAAGTTATAAGTCAGTGTCTGAAAACAAAAAATATATACTCCAACTGACTAGTCCAAAATAGGACAAAACACGTGTCCTGCATTCCACTGCTAGCCACTATCCATCTTTGCTTATAATGCTCATGAATTAAGGTAATATTGAGGCAATACGCACAGTATGCACATATGCCAATAAGAGACTGATCAACTGCACTTCTAAACATCAATGGGAAGGTTCAAATAGACAATATCAAGAGAATTTATATACTCTAGAATTATCGTTTCTTAATATTTTCTTTTTAAGAGAATTGAATAGGTGTTTTAGTTAGCATTTTCAGGATTTTTCGTGGAAATATAAAAAATTTTGACTTCAATCTTATCTTTCTCAGTATTCCTTGAAAAAGAATTGATAAGTCTATATCAATTGAAACTTCTTTCATTAAAGTGGAAACGGGAATATACATAAAGATATGCATATATAATTAATTGTCAAAGTTATTTACAATACTATCATTAAAATTTATCTTCGTTTTGCTTATCTATCTTTCTGTTTCTATGCAGACGAATTCATATTGGCCAATAATCATGTAGCAATCATGATTATGTTTGTTTAATCCTAAGTATTGAACAAATTCTCTCAATCGAATTACATTATGATCACTAGTTCGAGTGAATTAATGTCCTAGTACATGTTGTTCAGTGTTAAATATGTATACGAAATCAACAAGACATCCTAGACTTATATCTTATATTAGCCAACGCTTACCAGAGTATCTGTCTTCAAATCTGATCAAATTATTATTATTTCCTTTAAGAATCAAGTACACATTCCAATCTCAATATCACAATTAGAGAATTCATTAATGATCGAAGAGAAGTGATTGACTTCCTATTAGACTAGAATATTGACAATAACTAATTATTTTCATTAGTCACTAATGAAATGTTTAGTCTTTATTACTGATAAATACCAACTAACATATGATTTAAGTTCAAGATTAGTTTTCGATTACCTTTAATCATTCAGGGAAATATCATCTTATTTTTAGGATGATTTTCATCATAAAATGATGCTACCTTTGGACTGAAAGTAGAAAACTCAGGTTTATAGTACAGTTAACATTTTCTGTGATTGACTTATTTAGTTTGATTAATCTACAGCTTTCAAACAGTTGAGTTTTAAAATTTTGCCTCACACTGACATCTATTGAATTCTTCAGTCAGTATGATGAACATCAGTAATAAACATTTATAATCTTATTTAAGGTATCATAAGCAACTTATGTTCTATGACATTAGATATATTCCGTCGTTGTAAAATGTAACAAACGTACTAAATGAAGATCAATTAGTGTTGGTATCTGTGACACTATCCATATTAGACTAGAAATGAAGTCTTATCATAAATTGTATATACTTTTAAACATTTAAGCCCATCAAAATCAGCCTCATAAATAAAGACGTGACATTTTTAAAGTGGCTCAGTGTATGTGATGATCATTTTAAAATTAGTATATTTTTTTCAGCAGTTGAGAACCATTTATTCAGTATTTTTGTAGTTCTAGTCGCCTCTAAAGCTGTATAAAAGTAGTAACATTAATACATGACAACTTTTTGGCTACGTTTTAATTCAGTTAGATAACTTTCAACAGAAAACTGACTTTAAAGTGGTTGCGGTATACATTTCTTTAACCCTAACGATAAATTTTAAGAGTAAGATCAAAAATATTAGAAAAATTGTAATTGGTTTAATGGTTATCAAAATAGCAGTTCAATATATCAAGGTACAAACATTTCTTGTGTCCAAATGTATAAAGATATAGCATGCTGAAAAACAGGTTATCTCTAGTTCTAGCTATGTTCGAACTTTAACTAGTGATGGAGAGATTACTAGGTCACATTGTTATTAAAAAGGGCAATGACTGAATAAATTATTGACCTTTAAACAATAATAGTCGGTTAATATTATTAGGCAACAGGTTTGATGAGTGCGGAAGGGGAATTTGTGAAGAATCGTCCATTATCACGGGTTGGGTGTGAACCATAAATTTGAATCACTGTTGTTTTACTGTTATTCCATCTCGAAAACGACTTCAGGATGAGTCCGTGGTTTGTTAGTGGTAATAATAAACAGTCACCTGTGTTAAACTTAAAAATCTATTCATTTTCTTATTGTGATCAGGCTAAAATGTTTCCCTAGTATAGTAATTTAAATTACTTTGTGTAATGTATTTAATGTGTTATAGCTAATGGTAATTAAAGTCTTTTAAGATTTCTGTGCATATTGTTAACAAATCTCTTGTCACAGACTGAGAAAGGTAACTACACATGATTTATAGAAAATACATCTAATGTGTATTTTTCTTCACTATTATCCCTTCGGATTTTGAATATTGAACTCTCAAGGTTAATATTGTCTCAAACTTTTTAATGTAGATTAAGCCATCTATATACTTTTTTAAACAAAATATCATGCTTAACGTCTTAACTTTTCACCAAGTGAAATGAAACGTATCTTTAAATGCAACACATTGATCAGGTGAGAGCTATTGATGGTACAATACAACTTTCATTTGTTATTATTAAAAACTTCATCTGTCCACTAAAACAAAATCAAATGGCCTTCATTTTAATGAAAAGTTTAGATATCACAATGAAAGTTATTGGAACTTCATTTTCATCTTAGTATTTTTAAAAATATGTTGACAGAAATTAACGCTTTATGTCACTTGGAATTAATCTAAGGTGATTGTTTGTTAACAGTTTTATATAACCAAATGGTTGATAGCCGAATCAATTTTGTATATCTAACTTTCTTAATAAGTAGTTAAATTTATTTACAAATTTATAAACAAAGATGGATGATGGCTAGCAGTGGAATCCAGGACTAGCGTTTCGTCCTATTTTGAGACTCGTTAACCGGATATACCTTCACCTCAGAATTGATGTTCACTCCTGAATTCCACTACTATTCACTACTAATCTTCGTTTATAAAACTTATGACTTAAGGCAAATATCGAGGCAGTCCACATAGGATGCACATATGCCAACAAGAGACCGATCATTTGCAATCTTAAACAACAATGTTAAGATACAAGAAAACAATACCAAGTGTATTTCTTGATAACTAATTCAGTATTTTAAAAAAATCATTTTTAGAAATTGACGTAGATGAATAAATGAATGTACTTATGTATATTGAAATTTTAATGAATTCAAATAAAGAAATTATTAACTATTAAATTGAACTTACTTTTTGTTTTAATTTTAGTACGATACAAGAATTTAAAATTAGAATGCATGCAAATGGTAGTACATAAGTTGAAAGTAGAACAAATAGTTGATAACCCATACGACTTGATTGAGTTGGAAATTGTTCTCGACAAAATACTTCTTGATTATAATTATTATTATTATTATTATTATTATTGATATTAAGATAAGTTTTAATTAAATCATGAGTAGTTTTACTTGTTGAAGTATATATCTGTGGCATCTCTGTTAAATGATAAGTATTAATTGATATATCTGTAGAAGTAGTGTTAAGTAATGTGATATTATCCGGTAATATGTCATCCCTTGGTGCTGGTATTAATACTTGAAATATAATTATTGGTAAAGCAAATATAATCCCAACTAGAAAAAAAGAATAAAAAAAAAAGATAAATTGATGGAATGAATATTTTAATGGATGGATTAAAATTCATTTGAGTTTTTATAAAAATGGGGTTTTTCGTTCTCAAAGTCATGGAAACAATCCGCTTGTAATAATAAGGTATTGCTTTTTTTAAAAATCCTATAGGTATTTACCAACTTGTATCAACATCACGCTTGTTGTTATACTTGTGCAGCCATTTTGAATATCAAAAAAAACCCTATTAGACCCAAATGTCTTTTACCTTAAAAGCCCCGGTGATTCTGTTTCGATTTAAATTCATAGAAATAAATAATTTTTAAAAAGGATTAAGAATCATACAATAACAGTCATCATCTGTATATTTCAAAGAGTAATAGAACTAATAAGGAGTTTTTTTTCCAAAGAAAAACACTTCTTACTCGTTAGAATGTTCGTGGGCATAATCAAACTATTTAGTCTTTAAGTGATTATCTATAAACTAATAATGTGCAGTTATTTATCTTGGAAATAATAGTGATGAACTAAACATCAGGAGTAGAGGTACATACATAATAACTAACTTGTTATTAAGATCTATTCATTAGCCACCGAAATTATGAAAGATATGCGATTACGTGGATCGGGTTATTTTATTCATACACTAGCAAGTTACTTGGGATGATTTAATTTAAAAACAAATTAATTGAGAACCGTATTTGGAAAATATTCACGTCATGTGTTGGTTGATACATTGTTAAAAAAAATGATTCACGGTGCATTTATAAGGAGTTGATTTTACTCATTGTCCAAACTGGAAGTTCTTTAATATAATGGGAGTTTAAAAAAATGAGAATCATTTATCTGTTACTTTTTGACGTAATAAAACCGTAAATGAGGTTGAAAGCTTTAATCATGGTAGATGTAAGAAAATATAGAACTTAATTGATCTAAATAGTTTTAGACTAAATCATGTTAAGAGATGATCATGTTTGTAGTAAAGAGATTGACTAGATAAATGACCTAAGTATCTGGCTTCACACGAGCTAGTAGACTTTTAGTTCTTCACTTGTGATAATTTATCTGTCATGTAACGACATACAGAAAGGTCGTTTTAGTAAGTTGCTAAAAAATTTTCACCATGGAACGTCTTTGGATTTCATACTTGCGAACAGTTTTCAAGCAACTAACAGTGGTAAACTAATAACTTATATGGGAGTTATATGGATCATTTTTGAATGTAAATAGAATTTTTAAGTCTTTTTATGGTTGATAGCCATCATATACGTTTGTAACAGAATAATAACTTGAATTTAAAATGCCATTTCGTAGTGTTTAACATACTTTAAAAATGATAGATTATTGAAAAGATCGATTCATAGAAAACTTAAATAGAACGTCAAACTGATGAAAATATTAAGATTTAGGGATCTAATGATTACAACGTAAATTCTTGTTCCTTCATTAAATTCATTCTATTTCCAAGCATTGAACTAACAGATGACAATGCAGATCAATCTTCTACAATATTCTTCGAAATCTATTACATTTTAGACAAAATTTTGATTTGTATAAAAGACATCAACGCTAATGAATAATAATTAGAAGTTATGTAATAGATAATCAGTTCATTACTGATGGTATCGAAATTTCCCTGTGAAGTTTAAGTATGCTAGCCAAATGGACATAATTTTTTTTTATTACCATTCGAAATAGAACAGAAATGGTTTTGATGCTTTTGTGGCAGTGTTAACAATGATTTATTTAGAAGTGAAGAACTAATAAGAATTTAAACAGTACATTCTTTTGCGGAACAACGTGAAGACATAATTTAATGATTGACGATCCAGTATGATGGAATAGAGTAACCTTAATTAATATGCTAAAAACTTGTTTTACATGATAACGTTTTTATTTCAATCGATGGGGTGAAGAAAATCTGCTGTACAATGTTTATGGACTTTGACATGTGTAGTAAATTTTCAAATTTTTTACATTTTATAACTTTAATTGTAGTAGAAATTCTGTAGTAACAAAATTTCTTGCTAATTGTAACCACGGTAATAAAATCAGTGAGACGAATATAATATTTCATTAGTTATAGAAATTAGGTAACCATGGTAACCATGATTTGGAAAAAAAAACACGGAAAGAATGTATTTAATTTTTTAAAAGAAAATTTTTATGCTTGGATATGTTTTTCATTTAATATCCTGCAACTTTTTACACATTTCCCAATTTTTCTAAAACATATTAATATCCAGCATAATTTTGACATAGGCTGAGATGATCGGAGCTAGCAGTGGAATCTAGGAATCGTGTTTTGTCTTATTTGGGACTTGTTAGCTGGATGTACTTGCATCCCAAATTTGATGTTCACTTCGGAGCTCAAAACGAAACACGCTTCGTGGATTCTAATGACATTGGACGATGCTGAGCATTATCACGAACTCACTAAAGTTCAATATGTAAAGCATTGTATAGCATCTCAATGGTCTAGAGATTAAACGTTCTCAGAGAGATTTACTGGTCCTGTGTTCAATGTCAGATGAGGTCATGGATATAAACAGTTGAAGAGTCTCATACCTCTACGAATTAGTCTATCAATATTTTTGGTTGTCACTGAATGTTTCATTTAGATCAGTTAGTAACGTAAAATGTAAAATTCAACTATCTCCGCAAATCACATAATAAAAAGGGTTATGAGTTTAATTATAACAACATATTTTTCTTCAGGTAACAGAATAATGTTGAAAGTACCTAGGTAAATGGTCCACTCTTTAGTTAATCTAATCGTTTTCTTTAGTTTCCAAATAAGAGAATTTATATAGATGGACAGAAGTGATTGCTATTTACATAAAAATTGTTTTATAGGGGCCAAGGTCATTTGAATGGTTGATTGTCAAAATATACACCCTGGCTGTCTTCGTATGTAATAAATCACTCAATCCGCGTTAATGAATAACGGAGTTAAATAAGTCAAATACGTGAATGGATTTTGAATACATATATGTTGAACACTTATTGATCTGGACAGGAAATTGGAGGAATGAAGCGGATGGAAGAGAAAGAAGCAAAAACGACACAAATTGGAGATGGCGGGTAAGGCAGCTCACTTTGACCAAGAGTTAATCGATATTTATAGTCAGATAAAAAACAAGTTACAGACATGTGGTGAGTAGGCAAAGAAGTGTACACACACATACGCTCATAGAAAAACAGTCAGGGTTGATAAGTGAATAATTAAAAAGGTCAAAACGCGACTCAAAATGGATGGGTAAATTGGCTTATCCAGACGCTAGAATAAGGCATATGGGCTTAACATATCAACCAATATATCAATCAACAGTTAAACAAAGTTAAACTAAGAAATTTTCGGATTTTTTTGGCTTTAACTGATTACAAATGTCGATTGACTTAAAAAAAAAATAACTTGGAAGGTAGATGGGAAGATAGTTCTTAAATGATTGACTGTCTGTACTACACTTCATAACTCTGTTAATATTATAAACTGTTAATTAGTCTTTTATGAGTTACTCAATTAGGCTTCATAAAAGGTTCAAGAACCTGATTTATTTTACTTTTTCCTAAACTGAGTTATTTTAATTTCAGTTCATACCGAGCAACGAGAACAGTAAACGCTTATTTCTGTAATGTGAACATACCTTCAGAGAACCTTTTTTTCTATGATTATAGACTTTACCCAATTAGAATATGCAAACTATTTTGAATCTACTAAAATTGTGGTTTTTATTCAATAATTAATTTCATAGAAATATAATGGAATTGACAAGTTTTACAACATTTCACTTAAGGCATATTCATATATTATTGGTGTGGTCATGAACTCTTATCAACTGAGTTGTCCGGTATATATGTTAACTATCCTATATATAAGTAAGCAAAGATGGATAGTGGTTAGCAATGGAATCGAGGACGCGCGTTTCGTCCTATTTGGGACTCGTCAGCTGGATGTACCTGCATCTCAGAGTTGATGTTCACTCTGTGACTCGAACCCAGTACCTTTCGCTTCAAACGCAATCGCGTTATCCACTTAGCTACTAAGTCCTAATAGCCCCGGACTGACTAGTTGTATTTCTAAACATCAGTGGGAAGATTCAAACAAACAATACTTAGTGAATTGATCCTATATATGTTAAATATCAAAACGTTTTGGACTAATTGAAATACAAGTAAGCTTAATCAACAAAGTTAGAAGTACCAAACGAAGCCAATCACTGCTGAATTGTCTAACAAGTGTAATTCAAATCTTTTGATTTGATCTAATAAATCACATTTATCTAAAATGATACTTGTAAACAATTTTATAATTATTTTTATTGTTTATTTCAATGGGCAGAAAGTTATTGGACAAACTGATGATTAACAATAAATCATAGTGATTAATTAAATTTAGAAGTAATTAGTCAAAATTTAGTAAACAAGAACACGAGAGGGGACAATTGAATGTATTTAAGCACAAATTACAAACTATCTCACTAAATTCTGATTACCATACAGTAAATAATTAATTTACAAAACAACAAACAATTGTCTCAATCTTGATTGTTCCTTTTGTAAATATCAGTTCATCTTCCCTAATCTCATTATTCATGCATTTTCATACCGATTGCGCTTCGTTCTTATTATTTCCTTATCGATCTTTAGCCAAAATACATTCTATGTCCGACCATCACCATATACTACTTATGTGGATATAAGAAGCTTATATCATAAGAAACCTTTACATATTGTACATTAATTGCATCGATGTGATACAAATCAGTTATATGTCTATTTAATTCATCCAAAATCAATATCAAACTCATTTTATACACTTTGTTTGCCCTATATTAATGTATTTAAAGGAATTCAGTCAATAAGGTTGAGAAGGGTAAACAGAAATTTGGTAAAGTTGTTTAACACAGTTTATGTGTATTTAGTCATGAACAGTATTGATTGTAATATAGAACGCATACCTTAGTTTATTTATTTAAATACTTTTAGAAAGTTCTACTTGGAG